GATTTGTCGTTTTTGCCTTGTGTCAAAAGTTCGTATTTCATTTGATTTGAATTTGTCAACGAATTAAGTTGATTTGAATTTTAATATATCTTGGTAATCGATGTACTAAATAATTTTTATCTATCGTAAATTCCGTCTGATTTTATAAGGTAAGTTTTAATACTGATATCTTGTAGAAAATATATATTTTGTACAAGAATTTCTTAAATAAAATGTCAAATTTTGAACATAACCTCAACAATGGATAACACGTTTTATATAATGTTATATATTATTTTGTTTGGAATAAGATATTATGCTTTACTATGTTTAAATATGTTAAATAAGATTTTTTCCTTTTCATATTAATTTTAGTCTCTGTGAAATTATTCATTTAATAGTTTTATATTTTTCATTTAATAATTAAATCATTTTATCTAAATCCTGTTCAAATTTCCTATTTCCTGTCATAACATTTCCCTTTCTTTTTAGCATGGCTATATCTAGACGGTTTATTTGGATTTATATCTAGACGTTTTGAATTCCTATCAAGAAGTTTTATGGTTTTTATACCTAGAAGTTTGGTACAATCTGAAGACCGTGGTTTGGTTCATCTACAGAAGATCTACACGTTTCGAGTTAAGTTTGAATATCAAATATCACAAGATCGTTCAAAACACGGAGGAATACGAATAAGGATACCGAATCCCTTTAAAGTTGCCTGAAGATATACCATGCAATAACATTCCTTATATTATCTTCTTTTAACTAAAGATAAGTACTTTTAAATAAATCATCATAAATTTGAATTTAGTAAAACTATGTGAATTAGAATTTGCTACTTATCTACCTTACTACCTTATCTAAAACTTGGTTTAAATATAATTTGTTAGTGGTTAGTGGTTTTCTTTATTATCATCACTAATCTAAAGTCAAGTATAGTAAGTTTTAAATATAGTGGTGCCCAACTTCTTTTTCAAAGTTATTCGAGTTATTTAATAACCTAACCCACGCCCAAAATCAATTGAGCTTAAACGCATTATAACAAATAAATAAAATATCAAGTATCACGGTACAAACACTGCAAAAAAATGAAATCCACCAATCACTGTTCATATGTTGATCAATCGAGTGCTATTATTTTTAAAATTTTAAATAAGTGACAATTCTGTCAAAATAATTGTTATTGAGATTAAACATAAATTAAAATGGGTTATTCTAGTGTAGTATCGATAAATAATAGCATTTCTGTTTTTATTTCGTCTATAATTATAAAAAATTTGTTAATTTAAATAAAACTATATGTAGTCAATTTAATTACGAGTATTAAAGCTACAAAAATAAAAGAGAATAAATAAACTTTTTTTTCGTTGATTTTATTTTTAAAATTATTAAAAGTCATAAATTATTTTAAAATTAGTTATTCTAAAATTAGTTATTTTGTCTCAATCACCTAAAATATTTGTGTTTGTAAATTTTCGTTAGTGGGTCGTATAAAAAATATACTGTACAACTCGAGTGGATTGTCCACATCGCACGATTGAGCACTCCGCCTACGACGTCGTGCTCAAATTTCGTCTTCGTGCGATATGGCCATCATATCCACTCTTGTTGGACAAACTATTATTTCGTATTTTGATTTTTTACGTCATGTCACAATTTTTTTTCTACAACAACTGTCAATATTTATAATAACAAGACCTACTTGAATAAATTCCAGGCAATGGTAACTAGACTAAATCTTTTCAAAGTGATAAAAATTAGTTACGTTTGTCTCAAAACTTGTGTTACATACGTTATCAACTTTAAATGTTTTCCAAAAACAGGGGCGGCTCGTTGCCAACATTTTGGGGTTCATAGTAGCAGAATATAGCTCTCGGTACAGATGGAGGTATTTTAGAAAGGTATATTATAAACTTTCTAAAACAATGAATGTTTTTTTCATACATCTGTACTGATATCTATATTCTATCACTGTAAACCCCCAAAATTTTGGCCACGAGCCGTTACTGGCCAAAAATCATGCTCTTTAAGGGGGACAAAACCTATTGATTTAAAATAATCTTGAATAAAATGAGGGCCAAGGAGGGTTGAAATAAAAGAAAATTAAAATTAAAAACGGAAAGCGATACAACATGAAATGTTTAGTAAAAATCATAAGAGGATGAAAAAATCTGATTGAAAATGTGGCTGAAGTGAGCCTGTTAAACTGTTAAAAATATAATATAGAATACCAGGCATTGTATGTATATCTTTATTCTAGTTATATAATACTGTTAAAGGTCGACTGTTTAGATATATTTTAAAAACTAACAAGTAATATAATAATTCTCGAGTTTTTTAAGAATCGCTTTAATTCGCGCCTTGAGGATCAGCAAAAAGTTTGACAAGTTGAGTGCCGACTTGAACGTTTTTATCTGAAATATACGAAATTCTTTTTACATATAAAACTCATCTTAGCATAGGCATTTTATAATAAATTATGCGATATTCGCTTAGTAGGTAAATTGAATTTTTCCAAATCAGTACACATTCTAAATATATGGGAAAATAGGTCAGAAAACGTTTCGTACCAATATGGGATATGAGAGAACGATATGTTGGTGGATTAAATTTAAAATCTAAGGATACCTACTTATATTTTCTGAAAAATCTATTATATTTTATTTGCCAGGTTGATGAATATCTTCAATGCGTGTGAAGCCAAACATAATATTAATATTATCGTGAATTAAATTTTTTTTATGAAGAGTAAAAGATAATACAATCACAATTTAGTATATTCTCGATTTTGTCTTTGTTTAAACACTTAAATGATTATTTTTCATTATCAATATGATTTATAGAACTGAATTTTTCTACCAAAATATATTTGAAAATATCAAGAGGGTTTAATAACTAAAAGATCTATTAGCAAAAGTGATTGGTTTCAAATAATTAAACATTGAACATATCTACAAACAAAGTAAGGGCTTAACTGAATCGTGTTTTAAGTTGTAATACTACAAATTTATTGGGTGATTTACTTCACTTACCAAATTAGAAAACTTACAGTCGCGTTGCTTGGACTTTCGTTAGTATTTTTAAATTTGAATTAATAAGAATTTAAGAAATGAAACTAGTGGGTATTTTAAGTGTGTAAACTGAAATTATCCTAATATAATCCCGAATTTAATTAAAAAATTAGTCTAGTGCTTTCAGCTTATTAGACCATCATCAGGATTCTACAATGTAAAATTAGGTATCAAGACTTAAGTAATAAAGGTTTTCTTTTTAATGACTCACTCGGCTGTTACAACATAGAATGTTAGTTATTCCTCAAAGAGCAATTACACAGGTCCACAAAAAAAAAGTGGTCTGTGCTGGGTGTTCGACAAAGATTTTCCGACGTATTTTTTACCGCTGAACACGAATCTGAAGTCAAAATTGAGGGTCAAACTGCAAAAAACGGAGAAAAATTAAAATAACCGATAAAATCAAATGGATCTTACATGTACCAGTTAGTTCAGTAATGCAACTAACTTTGACAAGGTCGTATCTGAGGTGTTTTCTTAGCAATATTGACGATCAACAGGTTTCTTCATTTAAGCTATATTTAACATGTAAGTGAAATATTAAAATAAATAAATTTGTTAGGTCATATGTTTATGATTTTCGTATATTTCTATGTAGTCAGAAATACTTAATTTCATCTAGGACAAACGTTAAATGTAGTGGCCAGAAACGGAACATCAAATATTGCATTTATACCAATTGTGGCCGTGTGGCTACTTTTAGAACAGTTGTAATCCATTTTGGCCAGCCAATGGCTAAGTTATGACCACTAATAAAACACTTATGATCCTATTTTGACCACATGATAAATTGACTGACCACTAATGGAGCATATTATATATACCAATTCTTGCTACTTAGATATATATTTGTTTTAATTTATTATATAGTGTAACGGTTAAATCCGTTTTCGTTATTTGACCCAGACCCGTTCTCATTATTTTGAAACCAACATCTCTACACAAACGTCATTTGTCGTTTATGTCTAGTGTCAAAACTCGGTTGTCACTTCGATTTACGTCTGTCTTCGAGCAGGTTGAATTATTAATTTTTAATTATCTATTATCTGGGACATCCGATTTACTAGTTACCTTAAATTATTTTAATGACCATCTGATTTAAATAAGGTAAGTTTCCTACCGATATTTTGTTGAAAATATATATTTAGTACAAGAATTTCTTTATTAAAATGTCAAATTTGAAACATAACCTCAACACATTGAAAAATACAAGATTCGCATGTTTTATATAATTTCCTTTATTATTTTGTTTGAAATAGATAATATGCTTTACTATATTTATATATGTTAAATAAGACTTTTTCTTTTCCTGTTAAATTCTAATCTCTGTGTAACTATTCAAATAATAGTTTAATTTGTTCAATTGATAGTAAAAAGCATCTTGTCTGTTCCTAGATACTCTTTCCGGCTCCCTTCTTTATATTTTCACCTTTTTCCTTGTAGCCTTGCTGTATATAGATGGTCTGAAAATCTTAAAGGAGTCTTATGTCTTAAAGAAATCTTGAAGAATTCAATACTAGCTGTCTCTACCTGAATTTTAGAAGAACTTACAAGCTGCTTGTTGGGAAATTCAATTCGGAAGAACGTAGAATACATCAAGAAGTTTGCAACAAGATTTAACACTATCTTGTAAAGAAGGCCTCTACAGTTACCTGTTTCCTGTATACCTCAGATAAGTCTCAATAAATCATTTAAATTTGAATAATTAAGTCTCTGTGAATTAGAATTTGTCGCTACCTTATTTAATTATAATATCATAAAGATCAGTGGTTTTCTATATTTTCATCACTGATCGATTGTCAAGTTTAGAAAGTTTTAAATATAGTGGCGTCCAATATTCTCTTTCAAAGTCATATGAGTCAAAGTCGTACCTGTCGTACAGTGAAGACGTGTATTAGGTGCTCTCGATCTTTTAATTTGAATAGTTAATTCATATTTGAACTCTGAATGAGCGATAAAAGTGACGATGTGGAGAAAACATCGAAAGAAATGGATAGGTCCAACAAAAACCGAATAAAAAGTATCTCAGATGATAAACGCCAAGATAAAAACGAAGGACAAGTAAACGCCGGAATCATGACCCGGGCACAAAGAAAGAAATCTGAATTTAATACGAGCATACAGGGTGAGTCGGTTAATTTTAATAATTATGAAGAAATAAATATATTAGAAGATAAAGATGATACAAATACCTTAGTCAATCAAAGCACAGATGAATTATTTAGGCCTCGGAGTTCCTTAACAAGGACACCACCTAACGGAATTACCGAAAGTATAGGAAAAGTGGAAAACGAACCACAATTGTCTAAAAAAAGAGCACGAGCTGACTCTAGCCCCGCAAACTTAGAAAGATTGAAAATGTTAAAAGAGACAGAAAAAACACAAGTTCCAAAAGAACGCGTAGAAAATAACGAAATAATTACGCACCATAATGAAGTTCATACTACCAATATGATAGATGACATTATGAACTCGTTAGAGATTTTACACGACTTTCTAGAGAACAACGAAACATCGGAAACGAAAAAGAAGAAGGAAACGGAAGCCAAGTCTGCGTTGTTTAAGACACATAAATGCGTCACTGCCCTTGCTTACAGAATAGGATACCTGGAAAATGAAATAAAGCATCTTACTAGAACTCAAATTCAAACTCCTACAATGCCAATCCCTGAGTTATCTAGCGAGTCAACAACAGCCAACATATTTACAGAAAAGACCTACTCAATGGTTGCCCAGAGAAAGCACGAAGATAGAACAACGCAAAATACTATCACCGAGTGGAAAACTCCGCCAAAGCAAGATAAACACGAAATATTAATTAAAATTCAGGAAGAAAAAAATGCAAAAGTGGTACTAAGTGAAATAAAACAAAGTCTTCTTAAAAATAATGTCAATGAAACTATTAAAAGTGTAAACCAATTACAAAGTGGTGGAGTGATTATGCAATGTAATAGTGCTGACCAACAAAAAAAGATTAAAGAAGCACTAGGAAGTTCAGGAAATTTCCTAATAAAAGAAAATAATGATACAGATCCAATGCTGATGATAACAGGAATTACGAAGGGATATGAACCACTTGAATTTATAAACGAATTAGTGGAACAAAATTCAGACATTAAAATAAGTCTTGGAGAATCTGTCATGTCAAAAATAAGATTTGTCACAAAAAAAGATTGTAGAAATAATCGGAGAGAAAACTGGATTTTACAAATGCCGCCTGATATTTTCAAGTGGTTCATACAAAATGAAAAAATTAGCTTTGACTTGACCAAGGTATATTGCCAAGAATATTTTAACATAGCAATGTGTTTCAAATGCTGCAATTACGGCCATGTTATAAAATATTGTACTGGACTAGACTGTTGTCATAAATGTGGAAACGAGCATGAATCGAAAGACTGCAAAGAAGAAAATGAACTCGACTGCCCTAACTGTAAACGACTGAGGCTTAAAGAGCGAAAACATAGTGCTCGAGACCCTAAATGTCCAGCTTTTCAACTGCAGATAAAAAAGCACAGAGCTAACATAAATTATAGCAACAATAAAGACAACGAAGGAAATTTTTTATAAATAATTTAAAAAAGCCACACAATAAACAAGAAACAAATAAAACAAAAATAAGTTTAATCCACCAAAACATGCAATCCATTGGCAATGCCGTTGATGAAGTAGAATGCTTCTTGGAAAGCGAACCAACTTGTGAAGTTTTCTGTATCACCGAACACTGGAAAACAAAGGACCAACTGCTAAACTATGGTATTAAAGGTTATTCGATGTTAACATGTTTCTGCAGAAACAAAGAAAACACACATGGCGGGAGTGCAATTTTTGTGACCCTTAGTTTAAAGTGTAAAAAGAGAAATGATGTTAATAAGTTCGCAATTGAAAATATATTTGAATGTTGTGGTTGTGAATTCAAAATCAAAGGTAAAATTTTTATAATAGTTTGTTTTTATAGACCATCAGGTGCAGAATTTAAATTGTTCATGGAAAAACTAGAAGACCTTGTGTCTTACTTAACGAAAGAAAATGTAATATTATTTATTTTAGGTGATTTTAATATTGATTTCTTGAGAGATAGTAAACCACTGAGAGATCTATTGTCGATGTTTAAATCATACAACTTAAATTACACTGTCAATGAACCCACACGTATAACTAACTTAACTTCGACATGTATAGACAATATTGTCACAAATTTCCAAGGCGAATTCTCTAGTGTCGTAGTGCACCCATTAATTTCAGATCACAGTGCACAAAAAATAGATATATATCCTGAATTAGAACATAAAAACAGTTATAAAGTTAGAAATTTTAATGAAAGTAATAAAAAATTATTTAAAACATCTCTAAATGATATAAATTGGCTAGAAATGTATGAAATACCTAATTATAATGTAAATCTACAATGGAATGTTTTTATGTCATTTATTAATCTAAGATTTGATAAGTTCTTTCCACTGGTAGTTAGTAACCATTGTAAAAATAATAGAAAACAAAAAAATTTAATTATCAGCGATCCCAGGACTAAAAACTGCAAAAGAGAACTGGATATACTTTACACAATAAAAAATAACGACAATAGGTTTATAGAGGTTTATAATCAGAAAAAAAAGGAATACAATAATCTGCTCATTAGTAATAAAAAAATATCTTTCTGTAACAGGTTAAAAAATTCAGATAATAAATCAAAGAGCGCATGGGCATTAGTTAATGAAATTAAAGGGTCAAGTGTAATCAAAAATGAAATCAATATTGAAGGAGATCTAATGACAATAGCTGACAAATTTAATACATTTTTTGCCAATGCTGCCCCGAATTTATTATCAAATTTAAATGATATTCCTTTTTCTTCCACTATCCAGCCCTATGCACAAGAAATGGCATTAAAAAATATAAATAAACAAGAATTACTCAAATGCGTACGAACACTTAAAAACAAACATAGTGCTGGATACGATGAGATCTCCATGAATTTAATTAAAGACATTATAGATATTATAGGCAACCATCTTTGTCATATTATCAACAATTCCATGAAATTTGGCATTTTTCCCGATAGCCTAAAAGTTTCACTTATAGTCCCTATTTATAAAAAAGGTGATGACTCTAAAATGGAAAATTACAGACCAATTAGTATGTTACCATCTTTCTCCAAGATATTTGAGAAAATCATGTGTAAACAAATCATAAACTTTATGGAAACTACAAAACAGCTAAACAGCATCCAGCATGGATTTATAAAAAATAAATCAACCTTAACTGCACTATTCCAATTTACAAATCAAATTTTAACCATCATAGAAAATGACAACTTACCACTGGGATTATTTTTAGACCTGTCAAAAGCATATGATACGTTAAATTATAATATATTGTTAAACAAATTAGACAAATATGGTGTAAGAGGAACATCACTAAAATGGATTAGTTCATATCTGGATCAGAGAATACAAAGAGTTAAATTAAAAAATGGTCAAGAACAAATTATATCTGATGATAAATATGTAGGTCTAGGAATTCCACAGGGAAGCGTACTGGGGCCAATTCTATTTGTGCTATATATCAATAATATAGAGGAAATAAGTGAAAATGTGGACTGGTGCTCTATAACAACTTATGCCGATGACACGAATATACTGGTTAAAAGTGGTACAATAATGCAGTTGGAGCAAAGAGCAAGCCATATTCTTGAAGTGGGAAATGAGTGGTTTACAAAAAATAAATTGATTATAAATAGGGAAAAGACAAATCTACTACTTTTTAAAAATAAATGGTCACGAATTGCTGAACCACAAAGTTTCACATTACATGATGTTTTACTGGCCCCACAGAAAAGTGTCAAATTTCTTGGAATGGTGTTGGATAACAACATGTCTTGGTCTGATCATGTGGAGTACACACGACAAAAACTTGGTAGAGCGACATATAGTCTTAGAGTATTAAAGAAATATCTAGATTTTTCAACCTTAAAAATGGTATATCATTCTACAATTGAAAGTAATATTAGGTATGGTATTATAATTTATGGAAGTTGTATTGAAATTGAAAGATTATTTATCTGCCAAAAACGAGCTCTGCGAAATATTTTAGGAATGAAAGTAGGAGACTCATGTAGAGGAAAGTTTAAACAAAATAAATTTTTAACATTGACAGCAATCTATGTACAGGAATGTGTTTTGTTTTTTATTAAAAACAAACATCTTTTCGACACTAGTAAATCGCAGTCGGTATATCTCACTAGAAACCAAGACTATGTCTATCCACACCACAAATTTACAATGACAGAACGTGGAGCCTACTACAATTGTATCAAAATATTTAACAGTCTCCCCAGATATATTAAAACAATTAATGAATTGACAGAAGTCAAGAAAGTGTTATTTATATATTTAGTTAACAGAGAACCATATAATCTAAATGAGTTTTTGATGACCTAAGACAATATTGTTCATGTATTTTGTTTGACTCTATTTCGTTTTATGTATCTGTAACATACTCCTGAAATAAAGAACTATTATTATTATTATTATTATTATTAATAACCTGACCCAATTCCCAAATCGTAGAGCTTAAAACACTATAAACATTTATAAAATAATAGCATCACATTACAATAGAACACGATGTTTCGTTTGTACCTACCAAAATATTTGTTTTAAATAATATTTAAAAGGGTAATTTTTGGCTATAGGTACATAAAAATATCATAGATGAACTTAAGCTTACCTTTTACCTTCTAGATATGTATGAAAAACAGGGAAGGTAGGTAATAATTTATTTTCAAAAGAACTAGGTATTGTTATTTTTATAGATCATGGCACGAGTTAAAAAAAAAATTAATGGCAATAGCAAAGAAGCTAGTAAAATTTAAAAAAATAATGTAAAAAGCCGTCATATGAACCGGATCAAATTAAAAAGGCGTTAGATGCTATTCGCGGAGGAATAAAAATAAGCACCGCATATAAATTTTACGGGGTTCCTAGAACTACAATTCGTCATAAATTAGGTGGAAAAGCTCCAGAAACATCAGGCAGAGTTGAAAAAATCCAGTTTTAGGAAAAGTTGTATATCAACTAGTGCGATGGATAAAAACCACAGCTAAAATGGGTTTTCCAGTATACCGCGAAGGTCTTTTCAATAAAAAAAAACTAGTAGAAGATGGCCAATTAAAAACGCCATTTAAATCAAATATTCCTGGCATAAAATGGTTTCATATATTAATGCGTTGATGGCCAGAAATTTCTTAAAAACATTCCGAATACATCAACAGAGCCAGAAGAAAAAATAAGAAATTAGTTTAAGGAAACTTAAGATCTGTTAGAAAACGATAAAAGTGTCCTAGAACACCCTACAAGAACTTAGAACATGGACGGAACATCATTTTATTTGTTTCCGAAAGGAGGGCTGGTATTGGCTGAAAAGGTCTTCCAGTATATAATACTTCGTCCAGTTTAGATAAAGAAAATATAACCACATTGATTATAGCAAATGCTTTGAAGACATGGCACCGCCTCTTACACTCAATAAATAGGATCGTTCCTGAAATAATTTTAAAAAATGTACCTTCAGAATGAGGAATTGGAAAATCGCCAAAAGGATGGATAGTCTCCAAATGTTTTTATGAGGGTATTCATACCCTTCATTAAGAAAAATAATACTGAATTACCAGTAATAATTTTTTAAGATGGCCACTCGTCACATCTCAGTTTGCCTTTAAGTGGATTCTTCATCTAAAATAAAATTATCGTTGTATGTTTGCATCCTAACACAACACACATACTTCAATCTCTAGATGTAAGTTTCTTTTTTCCATTGAAGAGCAAATGGAAAACTGAAGTAAAAATGTTTAGATTTTGTAATAGCGTAAAGAAATATGATGTTCCTCGACTATTTAACAAAATAGTGGACGAAAATTATTTTAGTAAATCTCTTGTAAATGGTTTCAGAAAATGCGGCTTATATCCTTTTTCCTCGAATAATGTGGACTATTCCAAAATTACTTTAAAAGAACCGAAACTCGTACCTTACAAAACCAAATCTCGCCTTTCACATTTACAATATTTAGAGTCTGAAATTCCCCAAATAGTTTGAAAAAGTTCAAGAAGTCAAACTATAAGACTTAAGATAAATGTTTATATGATATATGGGTGAAATTTAAGAATGAGGATGCTTTATTATGTGATTATTTCGATAATCAAAAACAATTAGACAATGACAAGAACGATCCCCAAAGCCTGTTAGATGCTAATATAAGTCTCACATTTGAAATACCAAAAACCAATATTATAGATCCAATTGACAACTTTACCGATGCTACAGAATTTGACTTCCCGGAACACAATCAATCTTCTTTTAATAAAAATTATGGGCTAAACAAATCAGATGCTGAAACAGAAAACGAATCATTAAATATATTGGATAAATAAATTACTTGACTCTCCTTCAATTTCAAGTCCTACATTAACAGTCTCAACTACAAATACTATTATCATTTTTACGCCGAGAAGAAAACCGATAGAAATCTTAAGTAATATATTGATTTACCCTAGTGAAGAAAATACCACTAAAGATAAAAGAAAACACGACATTTTTCCTTCCGTACTGAAATCTACTAAGTAGACATCTACTGTGGAATATGGTCCTCGACACCCTGATCAACCGCCTCAATAATGACAGTGAGTAGGTACACAATAGGATATGCAGATGAACTAGTCATTCTGCAAACAGGGAATTTTGAGAACATACTCCGCGAAAGAATGCAAGTGGCTCTAAAAATTATAGAACAGTGGTGCAAGGACCATTCATTGTCTATCAATCCTAAGAAGACAGAAATGGTCCTTTCCACAAGGAAAAGGATGAAAATAGAATTAAAACCTCCAGAACTCTTATACACAAAACTAAACTTTGCAACAGAGGTGAAGTGAACTCGAATTAAGAAAACAGAGTTAAAAGAGCATACATTGCTTATGAAGAATGCCGCAGAACCGTGGGGCGCATCTGGGGTTTTCCCCCAAGAGTCGTCGCATGGACTTACACGGCTATCACAAGACCTATGCTAACATACGGTGCAGTTGTTTGGGTACCGAAAACCCAAAAATTAACAGTTATCCCTAAACTAGAACAAATTCTAAGAACATGTCTGAACATAACAGGAGCCATGAAAACAACACTGACCAGAGCCATGGAAGTCATTCTTAGTCTCACTCCCCTTGATATTTAGATGAACATTTTTAATTACGCGATAACTTGAAAACAAATGAAAATCGGATAAGAACATATGAGTTTTTTTACATTATTTTCACGTGTATAATATACTCCTAAAGTTTGGTGCGCTCCTCCCGACTCACCCTGTATAGTAGGAGTTATAGTACTACAATTAAAGAAAACCTAGCGAATCTCGATGAGTATTTGTATTATAAATCTCTACTAATTATACACTAAAAATGACAGATGAAAGACATTTAATACAAAGTTCATTAGGTGAAAATGGATGTTTTTTATAATAAAAACAGTTTTCCTTAAATATCAAAGTTATTATCAAAAGTTTTAAAACAAATAAGTAAATGCTGAATGCTAAATATACAGGGCGTCCCAAAAAAGTAGGCCAAACCGTTAACCATACATTCCTTAGGTCAGTGTATTTTTTTTTCGGTTGGGGCCATCATGTTCAATATACAGCAAATATACTTGCAAATAACGCCCTTTATGAAGTAGATGATATTTAGGCTCAAATTATGATTTGTGATCCCAAATATACCAGTACACCAATTTTAAGCCATCTACTAAATAAAACAACGAAAATATAGTGAAAAAGTATTTTTACAAATTAACTTTGTATATTGAACATGATGGCCCTAATCGAAAAAAATATTGATAGAAGTTTCTTGCAGTGATCTAAGGAATGTATGGTTAACGAATTGACCTACTTCTTTGGGACACCCTGTACAATAAATTACCAGTGGAAACTCTCATTAAATTAGAACTCACTCATGACCAAACGTCTTCTATGTCTCTCGAGGGATTGAGATCGAAATTACATGAGAACTTACATGTGATGAGGACTATCAAATTTCTTTTCGCTGATCAGCTCCCCTATCTCTTGTAATATTGTAAAAATTTCCTAAGAATTCCCTAAGAAAAATGGTACAAAATGAAAGAAACTCTATTCCGTAAATATAGCGACAAACTTTTAGGAGTGGTAGGGGACATCAAAATAAACATTTGTTTTTTAATAAATATACGTCTCTGAACACTTCGTTTCCGATAAGTATACAGGTTATTAAGGTTAACAAAAATCTGATGTGTCCAACACATGACTTTCCTATCTAATTATTATAGGCTTTTTCCGGTTATTTTGGACAATCTATTGCAGCACCTCTGTAAATGTTTAGATGATATACTAAATATATACATTTTCCACATACATCTACCTCGAAACATTTTTCTATAGATATTCATTGAAAACGAAAATACTGAAAAATTTTAATTTAGCACTTTTCCACCAATTTTTCCATTACGGTCCATTTTAGAAAAATCATGTATTAACAAAAATTATAGAGATCGATATCGCAAACAACTTTTAGTTCAACAATTTTCTTAAAAATCACAATTTTGCACATTTTGTCAAATTTCTCGAATACGGACCATTTTAGAAAAATTTTGTATGGAACAAAAAATATTGATAATAATATTGTAAGTAACTTTTATTTGAAGAATTTTCTTCTCCAAATGTAAATAACGGATATATTCCATAAAAAATAAAAATGATCACCTATAAAGTACCCCCAGATGTTTCGACTCTGCCCAAAATCTAATCAGTTTATTGGACGTCGGAATAAAGCTAAAGTTTAAAATTTGGTGTTTTTCTTTGTATCGGTTCATGAGTTATGGTGGATGCAGACACACACACACACACACACAGACACACACACATAGACATCATCGCGAAAATAGTCAAAACGGATTTAGGGGACCTCAAAACGTAAAAATCCGTCGAAAACTCGAGGTCGAAAAAATCATGATTCCTATACTTTCCTTATCTGTATACAGATAGGAAAGTAAAAATGAAATCGATACAAATGTTCACAGTTTGGTGATAGATATCTTAATGCCGGTGTATTTGGACCTATTTGCGTGTATTCAAAATTTCAATAGACGTGCCCGCAGGGATTTAGCTTATCTACCCACAGACTACAAAACGAAAAAGTATACTGTTGCGTTTAACTGAACGAATTTATTTCATATTCATTCTAGGTAGTGAGAACACGGCAAAAAAATAAAATCCACCAATCAAAGTTCATATTTTGGTCACCCGAGTACCATTACCATTACAAACTTTGAAAACGATGAATATACAAGCTTCTAAAAATAATGACATACCATACGAATTAGCTGATCCATATAAAATTAACGATGCCTTTATCTCAGTTTTTCAAAACAGTAATGAAAACTGCTTTGAAAAAATTGCGTACTACAGAACAAATAAATTTAATTTTAATAAAACATTTGAATTTAGCCTTGTTGATGTTGACACCATCTCCAAAACTATAGGTGCAATAAAATCGAATTCCAGTGGCGTAGATAATATATCTTTAGAAATGCTTAAACTTTGTATGCCAGTGATTTCTATTTATATTACGCACATTGTGAACTGTTGCCTTGAAAGCGGATATTTTCCTGATCAGTGGAAAAAAGCAGTCGTGGTACCTCTTCCAAAAAAAACAAATCCAACTACTTTTAATGAATTGCGTCCTATAAGTTTACTTCCTATTCTCTCTAAAGTTTTGGAGAGAATAGTGTATGAGCAAATCTATGAATTCTTTTCATCTAATAATATACTTCCATTGCACCAATCAGGATTTCGAAAAGGGCACAGTACCACCACTGCTCTTTGCCACTTAACGGACTCAGTAATGTCGGGATTGGATCAAAAACAAGCCACAGCCCTAGTGTTACTTGACTATACTAAAGCGTTTGATACTTTAAATCACCTTTTATTAATTTCTAAAGCAATTATTATGGTTTTTCTGAAAAGCCACTTTCTTTTATAAAAACATATCTTAATAATCGTTCGCAAAAAGTTTTACTAAATAGTCAATCATCAAGTTTCCTATCAATTCAATCTGGAGTTCCGCAGGGTTCCATTCTAGGGCCTTTGCTGTTCCCTATTTATACGTCTGATTTAAACAAACAAATAGAAACGTGCAAGGTCCAATTTTTTGCTGATGATACTCAATTACATCACACTTTTGATGATAATAACTCTAATGCAGCACAGAATATAATGAACGCTGATTTATCACGAATAAACACATATTCTGTAAACCATAACTTGCATTTGAATGCTTCTAAATCTAAGTTAATTTTATTTTCGAATACCAACTCACGTTCAAGCATAAAAAGTAATATGTCAATTAAAATTGATGATGATACAGTCCCATGTGTAAATGTAGCTAGAAGTCTAGGCTTACTTTTAGATGAGAACATGCGGTTTATTGAATATGTGAATAACCTCTCTTCTCAGTGTTATTTAACATTAAAATTATTATTTGCCAATAAGTATATATTGTCACAACAAATGAAAAAAGACCTTTGCGAAACTCTAATATTGAGTAAAATATTATATTGCATAGTAATTTACTATTCTTGTTTAGATTTAGTAACTTCGAACAGACTGCAAAAAATTCAAAATACCTGCTGTCGCTTTATTTATGGGTTGCGCAAATATGATCACATTTCAACATATTTTAGGCAGCTGCAATGGTTAAACATCAAAAACTTATTTAAATATCATCTTCTCTCTTTTGTCCACAATATACTAAAATCTCAAAATCCACCATATTTGGCAACTAAATTAATTTCTCGTAATCAGATTCACAATGTAAATATCCGCAGACAATTTACACTAACAATGCCACAACACACATCTGCTATTTTTGCTAGAAGTTTTACGTACAATGCCATTAAACTTTATAATGAACTAGACGATGAGCTAAAAAATACTTATTCTCGATCAAGTTTTAAACACAAACTAAAAAAACTCCTACTCCAACAGCAAGCCAACAATTAATACGTTTGTTTTTTCCTATATTTAAAATTTAAATATATTTTAATTCTACTACTTTTATTATTGTTTTTATATGTTTTCTACTGTTTTAACCTTATTTGTGTATTGTATTTTAACATTTAAACATTTTAACATTTTAATATATCTTAATACTTTCTGTTTTAAATTAAGAGGAGTTAGATGGAAGAATAGCCTATGGCTAAATCTCGCTCCATTGCTAAAATTTTTGTAATATTTTGAAAAATTATCAATAAAGACGGTTTATTATTATTATTATTATTATTATTATTATTTTTAAAATTTTAAATAAATAACAATTCTTTAAAACTAATTGTCAGTATATTATTGAGAATAAAATAT